TTTTTATCTATGTGGTGGTCTTTAAGCCTACCATGTGAGATTTTTGGTTTCGTCAGGAAAATTAATTACATCTTAGTTTTAAATCGAAATATTTCAACATAAAATCGCTTAATTCTGCATGTTTTGTTTTTTCAAATTCTCCAAAAATTAAGCGTTTGCATGAACCAGATTGTGAAAAAAAACAAAAAAATCTTCAGATTTTTAGCTATCTGCTGGTGTTTGAGCCTATCATGTGAGATTTTTGGTTTTGTCAGGAAAATTAACCAAATCTTAGTTTTAAATCGAAGTATTTCAACACAAATCACTTAATTCTGCACATTTTATTTTGCAAATTCACTAAAAATGAACCATTTGCATGAACCAGACTGAACAAAAAACCAGAAACTCTGTGCTCCGTCACGCAACTGAGAATCCAGATGAGAAGCTTTTGAATTGTTTTTGTTTTGTGTTGTTTTTTTTTAATGCAGATGCAAAATGCTAATAATGGACGCGATGGCTGCAGCTTTAAAAAGAAACAAAAAACATCTTTTAAATGATTTCTTTGATCAGAGGAAGAAAAACATAAAAATTCACCAGAGTCTCAGCTGTCTGAGGCTTTGGGTATTTATCGTGTGATTATTTTGGTTTCATCTGGAAAAAATAAATCAAATCGAAGCTTAAAAGCAAGATTTAAAAAAAGAAAAAAAAGGTTTCATGTAAAAAATTCACTAAAGCTGAACCGTTTGCTGTGTTCTGTAAAAACAGACAAAAAAGTTTTGGTAAAAGAAATAATAATAAAAACAAATCAATGTTTTAAGTGTTCAGCTGCAGCCGAAGTTTTTAGTGACAAAAACAAAGATTTTTGTTTTGCAGAAAAGCAGCTGCTCAGCGTTCAGAGGGTTAAACCAGAAAATGTAAAAGCAGCAAACGGAAAGAGGAGCAGGAGGATACCAGAGTGACGGCTGTGGTTTTAAAGCCCATCAGGCAGAAAACACGGCCGCAGCGTCGCTAAATTACAGAGAAAGGCTGAAAAATAATTGTTGCTTGTGCTGCGAGTTAATCTGCCGAAGCCGGGCGAAGACAAAAGGCTTCGGTGAGGAGCAGAGAGACGACAGGAGGGGAGGAGATAATGAGCGCAGAGAAGGAGGAGAGGAGGAGGAAAGTTCGCTTTCCCACCAAAGTGGCCTCGAGGGGGGACGAGGCCCGGTGCAGCCACCAGCAGGACGACGTCCAAGCGGCCGCTCGGCGACGCATCGGCTTCATTCCTCTGCACAGTTTCTGAGATTCGTTCTGCAGCAGCACAACGAACCGAAACAGCCGGAGAGAGTCGATCTGTCGTCTCCTGTCTGCTCTGTGGAGACACCGCCTGCAGCTCAACCTAAAACAACATCCTCGTCCTCTACAGGAGAAGAAACGTGGATTCCATCTTCAGACACAAGAGGTCAAAGTTCTTGATCTAAAAAGCACCAAACACGAGGATCAACAGAGTGTTTTAGGGAATATCACCATCGGGCAGTTGGAAATTCCAATTCTGCCCGTGTCCAGCTGACAGATGGGGGGATTTTGCAGATTTCTAAGATTACGAGGAGTTCCAAGAAGGTTTTGGGATTCAGAAGGTTAAAGGTCAAGTTCACACAGCTGC